GTGATTGGAGACGTGTAGAGCACACTCAAGAATAACCTGAAGTGATCCATTCACAAATCTGCTAAGAGAGGAACTGAGAGAATTTATCCTCGTTTTGCAAACCAGTTAGGCATGCAAGGCTTTGGTGCTGTTTGCAGAACTAAATAAAATCTATTCTCTCAAACTTCTCAGTATTCTGGGTACTGATCTATAGATACTGAAGATGTTTAACCTCTTTTGTATATGTAGTTCATCCACAGGTCATGCGATTCATTTTAATGAATTTACCTCTACTTTATCCATGGAGAAACCCAATCACGAGGGACTCATTGAGGAATGTTGAATAAATGTTGCCTGTTGCCATGAAACATTGTTTCAATGTTGTTTCCACATGGATGTGTTACCTGGGTTTGGCCTCGTCCTCGGGTAAGCCGACGAGAAAGCCGCGATGGGATTCCTTGGGGGAATTTTTGCGATTGAATATTTTCATGCCTCTCCCATATTTCAAGCAGGCGCTCATAGTCGGAACACTCGTGGTACCGTGTTCCATTTAAGATGATGGGAAATGCCAATACCGCGCTTGCAGAACAGCGGCGAGGCATGAATAATAAAAGGCTTTAAGTGGTCTCAAATTTAATTGCTCGTTCACATCTACCGATGTGAACGAGCAATTAAATGAGTACACACTAGTAGATGCATTTGATATTTTTCGCATTGAAGGACGATCTTGCACGTTGTTTGCGCCGTCTGAGTAATTTCTCCTTGCTTCTCCTATTTGATCTGTGTCACTTGAGCTCGCGAGCAGCTTCTATATTGCTTGCTCTTATCTTCGATGGTATTTCGATGCAGTGCTTGGACACATCGCTTCAAATGAAGGGTGTCGTGTTGTCCGTGTCCCCAGACTCGTAAACGAGGTGTCACGTGACAGAATCAAATAGATTCCTCCACCTTCCGTTAACATGAAACGGCAGCAGCAGCATTTTGCATGCTTCTTCATGCTATAGTATTATATGCTGTAGATGGACGTCAGCATGGCCTTGTCTATTGAAGAGCGAGGAGGATGTTGGACTCTTGAGAAAAGACGGAACTCGGGTCGATACCGCCCTCCGACTTCTCTCTCGCTCGTATGAGGCTGCAGATGAGACGCGATTCCCGATTGGTCGGAGGAGGATGCATCTCCCTTCGTCGTTGGTCCCAGGCGGCACTCCATGTCGGCTATCGACTTGGGGTAAGGAGGTGGAAAGGCAGGCTCCCTCGTGACAGACGGCTTCCTCTCTCGAAACGGTGTTCGTGTATTGACCGTGGCGAGACAAAAAAAGACAGGACCAAAAAGGAAACCGCGATGAGACCATATGATACCTGAGACTCCGGTGTGAAGTGACCCCGAAGTCCTTGTCTCCCGTTTCGGAGAGGCCGCAATGGCTCCTTCGCCGGGACAGGGAATCCTTCTGCTCATCATCTCCATCCTCTGTGCCTCTACTCTCGTCTTCCATATCCCCCTCGGTGAGCCTCGTTTTCCAACGTGAGGAAAGAAAGGAATGAAATTTCCCTTCTTTTCCACCTCCTCACCCTCTCCGACAGCTTCTCCCGTGCGCTTTTCCCACAATTTCATGTTTATCTTTCTCTGAAACAAACCATAGAGCAGAGTCCTTGCATTTTGGATCCCGAAAGCTTACCTCGTCCGACAATCATTATATTCCTAAGTTTCAAATGTCAGACTCGCTCAGCTTCTTCACCAGTCCTCGGTATTCTAAAATGCTTGCCTAGTGATATTTAGAAGAGGGAAATCATGAGACTAATGTACACAAGGCTCGAGCAATTCAAAGGTGAAGTGATGGCCGATCAGGCAATTATGAGGAAGAAGGGAAATGAGAGGAACAGTAAGTCGTAGTGAGACATCTTCAGTCACGCATTTCGGGCCAGACAGACTCCACTCTCCAGCTTAGAAACGTTCTTGCCTCCATCAAACGGGGAAAAATACGTTACAATCCTCGGTAATAATCTCAGGAAAAGCTTGTCCTTCATGCCCACTATTTTGATTTTGTGAGGGATATGCATGTGACGTACTTAAGTAATGTTATGCATGTCAAGTGAGAGCACGCCATGACTATGGAGCATGGAACATGGAGTCTGGAGAAAAACTGATTATTTGTGGACAGTTGAACTGATAGTGTTCTAAAGATATGATGGTTGGAGGTTCGAGAAACGACATCGCGACAATCGCATCTGCAGTTCTTCTGCAGTTTTGCAGTAGCTCTGGTGGAGCGTGGTTGCCACATCGGGAGATTTTTTTAGAGGCGAAATTCGCGTTTTTTAGAATAATTATCTCCCGACCGACTTTTGGTAATGACCGAAAGAAATAGATGGAGGATAAAAGCTGCCTCGATGAGGTTCTTACGTCGAGTTGCCGGTGCCACGCGCTGTCACAGGATGCGAAGTGCCGCCATCCATGAAAGCCTGAGGTCGAGAAGGATTTCTCTTGATCGAGAGACCCCACGTCCTGTTGTTCGGAGACTTATGCAACATGCCCCAGGACGAGACCTCCCACAAAGACTCTCAGCCTGAGATTACCGGTAGAAGACCGGTCGGTGGAGTCGGTGGACCTCGTACGATACGAAATGACGTTGCGAAGGTTTGTCAACCTTTGTTCGACATCTTGCAAGCTGAGAGCAATTCCGATGCTCGGGACCGTGGAACATTGAAAGTCCCTTCCTAGGACTGCTCCGACCTCATTAAGACCTCATTACGTCGGGATGAGCAACCCAGAAAATGAATAAAAGAATGAGATCCGAGATCTCCAATAGAAACCTTTATGACAATTATGTTCCAAGAATATTTCACTGGAGAGTGCACGAGGTTATTTAAGCCGCTAAATCTTCTATAAGTCCTTGATTGGAAGTTTTCACTCAACGTCTTCGTGGTTGCACTACCTGGCCATGAAATGCTACAAAACTAACGCTGCTGAGACATGTAAAGGTTTGAATTCCCTTCCGGGAACAGAAGAGTCCCTCGCATATTGTGAGATATTGTGATCGGGCGCGAGGACAAGCATCTCAACTCCTGGTTTCTACACGAAACGCTATTCCGAGAGTAGTAGAGAGGAGGAAACGCCCCCTTCTGGAAGAGTATGTATCCAGGGATTCATTCTCTTCCAATAAGAATGTTTAATCTCGGATGCCTTTTCTTCCCCGTTCTTCCCCTTTGTATTCCAGTGATTCTCTATGCAAGCCACAGGAATAATTTCAAACCTCTCTTCATCATAGGTGCGGGACGATCGCAGAAAAATCGTGCTTAAAAAATTCTGTGGTGCCATGACAGGAGATAATTCCACTTTTGGCGAAATTGAGCTATCATCACCATATAGAGTGCGTCGTGATCCATCTTTTGGTCAAACGGGATAAGCCCAACTCCTGTTCCTTCAGGAGAAAACTGCATTTGAAAAAAGGGGATATGTAGCATGTGTTGTATGAATAGGAATTTAAACATCCTCCTGAGAAATTGCGAAAATGGACTTCTCGCCCTCTGTCATACCACCACAGAATCGTGTCCAGAACTATCGATCGAAGTCGTACAGGCCTTCTCCGTTGAATGAAGAAATTCAATCGAAGAGCCAGAGTCCCCATGAGTTTAATGACAAATTTCTCTAATCGTTCTTGGTCGCATGAGATTTCGTTCGTGTACCCCAAGGATATCTCACATCAAAACTCATAGGTTTTGGACAGTCAGAAGCTTGACGTTTTTGTTTCTCACCGTTTATAGCAGCCTTGATGTTTTTGTTTCTCACTGTTTATAGCAGCCTTGAGAATCGGGGATATGATAGATGAAGGCTATCTGCAGTTCTTCGTCTTTAAAGTTCTTCTTTTTATCCTACAAAGGAATCTCTTATGGTTTGGCTCCGACGATAATGGCTATGTCAGCCCCCCGCGCAGCGGAGTGCCAAGGCACACTACAGGAACAGCAAGATCAGATAAAGAGAAACTGCTTCGTCTAGAGACAGAAAAGTCCCACCTTTCATAACGGAAGACGAAGAAGGAAGTAGATTGGTTCGCTGTGTTGGAGAAGGGCCAAGACAAAGCCTAGGCCTTGACACATCTCCCTTCATATCTCTCCTCCCCTCTCCAGCACATTTCTCTATTCCTCTCCTCCCCCTTTCTCTTGGGACAAGGAGAACAAGAAACTTGCATTCCCAGTGGTACTGCAAACGATCTATTCTTCTCAGTCCCTCCTGGGACCACACTTCCTCCATTATCAGCTTACACGGTTCTCGAGACACCAGAACTCGTCGTCTCTTCTGCAACATCACGCATAGGTTCAAGTTCGACAAACGTAATCGGTACCGTGGAGACATTACATGACGATGACCATAGTTCCCCGATGCCTCCACTTAGATGTTAAGCGGATATCGATTTCGACGGAAGGAAGAGGAGACACGCCCAGATAAGGCTCTGGAAGGTGGGAAGAACAATCAGTGTTCCAGGATGTAGGAGAGAAGACTGAGTTTGACAGCTGTCCCGGCTGTCCGACTCATTTTCTTGAGTCTCGGCCATTAGTGTTGTCGGAGACTGGTCTGTATGAAAACTGTACTCCATTCACGCCTATGATGGTTGGAGCTACAGCCTAGCAAGCTGCTGACCCGCTGGACTTGGAAGTTCTCAGAGCTGCACAAGCTTGAAGGCTGCGCATATTCTCACAGAAACGAAGGGAATCATGGGATTCTGTAAGCATTCATTCTAATTTTCTATGTAATATTGGACGACAGCATAGTGATAAAAGAAAAGGCTATCCATTTCATCGTTATCAAGAATGGACCAGTTCGTTTGTTTGAGTCAAGGATCATGATCTCGAGAAAATTTCTAAGTTTTCTCTCTGACTTGGGTCAGAAACCTGAGGAAAGCGGAACGCTTTCCGAGTGAAACTTGGGCAGATATGCCATAGGGGCTCGATTAGTGTCCTTAGAAGTAGTTGAAAGCTCACTTGTCCTCCACCTCTTTCAGTGTGACTGGGAGAGGCAGAAGGGAAGCATGGTCTGTAAAAGATTTTTCCATTTTCATGGATATACCCAGAGGTAAGCATTTGACCACAAGGGGAACGTTAACCATATTCGTTTCATACTAAATGCATCTATGTCCTACCAAGAGATTTGGTAATCCAGAAAGGAGCGTCTAGGGGAAGTTGGGAAGCATCTTCATATCTCAATAGAGCCCAAACAATTCAAACATTTCAAGAATGGCAGCCATTCAGCCTCAAGCTGCAGCAGACAGGACTGTAGAGTCCAACTGCTTATTATCTTCTCTTTCTTTGAATGGGATCACAGATGGATCCATGGAAGGAAGACTAGAATGTAGCATGGTGCTCCTTTCTCACCCCCAACAGTGGGCACCTGCAGGACGTCAAAATTGCGTCTCATCAAAGGAACGGTGTTTCGCTTTTACTCGATCCATATCCCGACTCGTATCGTTGGACATCTTGAGAGGATATGGGAGAAAACTGAGCTTTTAATGTAGCGATGATGGGAAAAGTCCCACCGATAAAGAAAGACAAAAAGGTTGAAATTATTATTATTTTATCCCCAAGAATAGAGAGGCGTAAAAGGGTTCTGAATTGGTTGTTATCGTTGTAGGAGTAGTAAGGGGGACCTCTACCGTGAAAGGCCATGAGGGATAAGCAGGTATAGGAAGGCCCTTCCTTACGAAGCAGGATGGTTCATTTGGTACCACGGCTCTAAAATCAGGAAACAGTTCCTCAATCCTTACCTTTCTACTGCAGATTCTTCTGTAAAAAAAGAAAAATAATGGAAAATATCATAAACTATTCCTGAGAAGTGTTATGCTATTCCTCTTATCTGAATTTCAATTTTTCTTCATTAAATTATTCTGATTTCTCATTCCTTCGAGCCCGTCAGTTTCTAGAATTCATGTTTCCGAACTTCCCTGTGCTTAAGCATAATCGCTCTGAGGATTTTTTCATCGTAACTTCTTAACAAATCATATATTGAGCTGTTATTCATGATTTCATGAGTGCAGATGCAAAAAAGGATATCTTTAAAATCCTGGAATTAATAAAGATGAAATTGTGATGCGGGGCAATCTCATCTCATCGCTTTCATGCGAGGAAAAAGTGAAGTCCAGATGAGAATCACTTCTCAGGGATGGCCTTGATAAAGGGTGAACATAAAAGGTTGGACGGATTTCAAACTTAAAAAACGGAAAGTAAAGAAACCATTACATCGAAACAAACATCGGCCCAGGGTCTCACTCCACTAGTGCTTTCGAGAGGTTTTCAAACATTCCACGATCAACAGATTCCTATTTACAAATGGGAACTCTCCAATAAAAGGCAGAAGATATGCTGTGATGCATTTGGTTCAGGGAAGGAGATCTTGAAGGAAAGTCACCACACTCAACTTTTTGCTCCTGTTTTCGACGTGTAAGTATTTGTTTCTGTTGAAATCGGTTGAGTCGTTTTTGCTCTAGTTTGATCCTCCTATAGCCAGAACTATGGGAAGATTCCGAAACAAGTATTCATACATCTCCGAAACCACTTGGCCGCATAAGACTAAACGCAGAGAGTCTTGAGTACTTGATAGATTGTGATGGCTTCCCGATTTTAGGAATTATAAATTTGCGTGAACGTGAGGTGCGAATACGGAAATTTAAATCGTAAGATCTCTTCTACACTACGATTCCTCCTATCTTTCTCGATATTTACGAAGAAGAGGAGAAACCCTCTAGCCAATTGCCATTCTTTGAAATAGTCATTTTCGAGTCGCTTTGAATTTTTTTTATTGATTTTTTTTTTGCCATCCTTTCAGTGGAGGGTTCCGAGGACGAGGAGCGACTGGTGCGTGACTTATTCCGAGGCTACAACAAATTGATACGTCCCGTCGAGAACATGTCCCAGACCGTGGATGTGAAATTTGGACTCGCCTTTGTCCAGCTGATCAACGTCGTGAGCATTTCCCCTTCTCGCTTCTTCCGTTCCAGGCATAGATAGAAAGATGCCACGCCGTGCCAGGTTCTTCATGCATTATTCTTAGGGCACTCTCCCCATGTATATTTTATGGCGTACTGTACCCTCGACCGTCTACCTCCCTCTCGGAATGGATCTCGCTTCGCGAGACCTGCATCGAGCCAATGAGAGTCGCAAGAGAGAGCAAGGAATGGGCAATTTGCTTGGAAATGCATGAAGCGAGGATCCTCTCCGGCAAAGCACGCAAGGGATCTAATCGAGGATATTAACCGTGATCATGAAAATTGAAAGAAAAAGGAGAAAAGCAGTCTCGTATTAGTTGGTGCCCTGGAAACACTCGTTTTCAGAAACACCTTCCAAATTCTGCCGGAGCAAGATGTGACACGAATATACGTATCCTGACTCTCGGGTCAGCAGATGCGAAACAGGAACGGGATAAGTTTACGTCATCATATTGAGTCCCAAATAAGCATATTTGACCGAGAGGGCTGGGTATGAACAATACATATACTACGGTTTGGCCTGTAGGGGTTAGAAAAGTCTACCAAGGGTTTGCGCCATTCAGCGACAATCACGTAGCGGGAAAGGCTCTATTTTTGGAGATTCATTTCGCGTTTCTCGCTATCTTTCGTCTCGCTCATCTAGCGAATCCCCATATCAATCACTTCACCAAAAATGTGAGCCTTTCTTCTAAATGGTGATACCGTTTGCAAAACGGAGACTGCAAGAAGATACCATGGTATTAAGATGTAATGAAGTGGGTTTTTTATTTTTATTTTTTAAATTAAGTGTTGCATTTTTTTAACACTAGGAATGTTGCTATCTTGTCATTCTGTCTTATCATCATGCCGGTTTTAATAAAAAATAAATTTTTTTTTCTTCCGCTTTCGTCCTCAGAACGAGAAAAACCAGATCATGAAATCCAACGTCTGGCTCCGTCTGGTAAGTACTTCCCATCTTAAACTTTGTTTGTCGACGAGACTTTCCTTGGAATAAGAGAAAAGACGGAACCGACTGGGCGCAAATCAACAAAAAAGACTGTATTTCGACGAGAAATTTGTTTGATAGGAGTAGATTCAGGATTTTTACGGGGGGGGAGGAGGGGACGGGAGGGGAGGGGAGGGGAGGGGAGGAGAGGAGAGGAGAGGAGAGGAGAGGAGACTCAGTGCAGTCGCAACTTCCTCCACCATCCACATTAATAATAAAAATTACATATGAATAGCTTCCGTATGATGAGTGACGAACAAGTTGGTTAGCCTGTCTTGTGCAGCCAAAAAAATTAGTTTTTCTTCGATAATTGTGCGACAATAATCCATGCATTAAATGAAAGAATCGATAAAGGAAAAGTATGGATTTCTCCGGTTACAATTGCATTCGACTGACTCACTTCACTGTCCAGATGACCGATTTGCCGTTCACTTCCCATTTGGGAGTGAACCCAACTTGCCTACGTAGATACGGTCTTCGAAGAGTAGGAAAAGATTAGAAAAAAAGATAAATAAAAAAGATAAATATAAATATAAATATAAATAAATATAAAAATAAATATAAATATAAAAATAAAAATAAATAATATAAATATAAATATAAAAATAAATAATATAAATATAAATATATAAAAAGGAATAGATTTCTCGACGATGGATTGCCCGTGGCTCCGAAAGCAGGAAGCCACTTTGAAGAATCTCATAACGTAGAATGATGAGGGAATTTCCTTCCTGGGGCAAGCATTCCTTCGAGTTTTCATTGGGAAAGAAAGGATCTCTCCCCTTTCACACTTAACTGCGGTAGAGGCAGGAAAGCATGGAACAGCAAGCCTTTTTACTGAATTAGCATGCAGTCCTTTCTTGCAGGACAGGGAATGACGAATCCGGTTCGCCAATCTCTCCATCTCCGCTTTCAGTAGGAGTTATGGTAAAGTAGTGAAATGGGGCCGGCGCTCTGTAGTAACCCCCCCTTTACCACCCCTCTTCTTTGTATGGATCCGTGCCTGCTTTCATGTAAATCGATCGATCTTCCATCTTCTCTATTTGCATGAAGAGCCATCTCCAATCAGGTGGGCCCACAGGGAGAAGAAAATAAAATTTCCTTCATCGATGTGAATTTTTTGTCTCTTTACCTGTTTTCCTCGAGGTTTGGACGGATTATCAGCTGACGTGGGACGTGGCTGATTACGGAGGGATCGCCGTTTTACGTCTCCCACCCGACAAGGTGTGGAAACCGGACATCGTACTCTTCAACAAGTCAGTGTTGCCCATTTGCTCCATCCGTTTCTTGTCTCGTGCTATTCATAACGCATGCACGGTCAGGTGTTCCCTCCATACGAAGTAATAACGAAAGAGATTCTTACTTCGGATCGTGCGGAAGATCGCATGGGCACCGTTTCCAAGCACACATTCTTCACTTCATCATCCTAGAAGAATAAGAATGCAGAACGTTACCCATCGGTCAGAATTCGGCATTTGCAATGAATCAATTTCAGTTGAGGATTTTTCACTAGTTTTCACTTCTAGTGACGCAACGAAGCGATTTCAAATGCTCTCAACAGATTCTCATGAAATATGCTTTGGGGAAAGATATCATGAACCGACTCGTATGTGCATGCAGAGCCTCATTCTTCCTTAGAAAGTCAAGCAGAACCTAAATGTTGAATTCATTGCGCACATATATAAATCACGACATTTTTAAAATTCAACCTTGATTCTGCTCGGTTTCATTAGCATACTCATTCAATCCACCTCTCATCTGACGAAAAGAGAAAAATAGAGAACCGTCTACAAAGTACGCCTGAGCGCATAAGCTGCGGATGCTTTCCTCCTTTCCCGGACATTTCCTTTTCGTTCCAGGCTATTTGGTCGATGAGCTCTCCCGACAAAGGCCGTATGCGCGTGCAATAGGTTGTGTTCTCCGCACTTCATCTGGATCTTTCAAGAAGGATCACGGGTGGGGATCGATTCTGCCCTTCTATGCGATCCAATCTCTCTCTTCTCTTTCTCTCTCCTCTCGATTCCGTTCATCTGGCGCATTTCCATCGTTCTCTGCTGGATCTAGGGCTTTCCCTCTTTCTCAAGGCTTTCTATACGAATGAAAAGATGGAGTCGATGAGAAGGAGAATTTCTCCTTCGTCCGGTCCACCCTCATTCTCATCTTTCCTTTTTTCCCTCATCCTGTGATTGGGAGTAAGGCCCCATCATGGAGAATCCCGTGCGACTCTAATGGGGGTAATTGACCGAAATGGGACCACATCTATCACCTCACCAAGAGAAAGAGAATCCAATTTTGCTTGTCGTGTGACCCTAATTTCAATTAACTAATTAGAGGATGGCTTATTACTTGCAGCGCTGATGGCAACTACGAGGTTCGCTACAAAAGCAATGTGCTCATCTATCCCAATGGCGAGGTTCTTTGGGTCCCTCCAGCCATCTACCAGGTGACACTATTGGCTTCAGTTCTTTCTATTGTGGAGTTGGATTGAGTTCTACTGTTGGTTTTTATTTTACGTTAATATTGCTTTCAAGTCCTATGCCCTCTCTCTTCCTCCCCCCCCCATACTTTTTTAATTTAAAAAATGATTGAAAAGTATCATATCGCTTCTACTTGAACATCACGTCCAAGGCATTTGGGTCTGCATAGAATACAAGCATCTTTCATTCTTTTTTTTTATCGGCACAGAGTTCGTGTACGATCGACGTGACGTACTTCCCGTTCGATCAGCAGACCTGTTTGATGAAATTCGGGTCGTGGACGTTCAACGGGGATCAAGTGTCCTTACACCTGTACAACAACAAGAAATACGTGGACTTGTCGGATTATTGGAAGTCGGGAACGTGGGACATCATCGAGGTGCCGGCGTATTTGAACGTGTACGAAGGGACCCCGAAAGACACGGACATCACGTTCTACATCACCATCAGGCGAAAGACGTTGTTCTACACTGTGAACTTGATCCTGCCCACAGTGCTCATCTCCTTCCTTTGCGTGCTCGTCTTTTATCTGCCGGCCGAGGCCGGGGAGAAGGTGACACTGGGTATCTCTATTCTCCTCTCCCTCGTCGTGTTCCTCCTCCTCGTCTCCAAGATCCTCCCCCCGACTTCCCTCGTCCTTCCTCTAATTGCCAAATACCTTTTATTCACGTTCATCATGAACACAGTGAGCATCCTCGTGACGGTGATCATCATCAACTGGAACTTTCGGGGGCCCCGAACGCATCGAATGCCGAATTGGATCCGCGTCGTATTCCTCAAATACCTGCCCGTGTTCCTCTTCATGAAGAGACCGAAGAAGACTCGTCTTCGTTGGATGATGGAAGTCCCGGGGGGTTCCAGCGCCCCACCTCATCCCTACGGCTCTCCTGTCCTGGGTCGTCATATGGGACTCGGATCAGGGCCAGGATCCTCTGTCGCAGTCAAGAGTCGCGTGGAACTCATGGAAATGTCTGACATCCACCATCCCAACTGCGATGTGAATAGAAAGGGGGGATTCTTAGATCGGGATCTTCCTCCTCCACCCCCTCCAAGAAGAGATTCCGAAACCTCGGATTCCGTCTTCATGACTCCTGAAGCCTATCGAGCCACCGAGGCCGTAGAGTTCATCGCTGAACATCTCCGTAACGAAGACGAGTACATCCAGGTAGGTCCAAACATCTAACCCAGCCATTTATACATACAGTATAGGTTGGACTTTTTTTTGGAGGGGAGCTTCTCTTATACGTCTGCAGATGTCGTGCCACTAAAAGAGATATTTGAAAAACCCTAAATTTCCTTTCTTAGAATCATGCCCCATGGGCAATGAGCCTCGGAATCCCTTTCTTAAGAGCATTTAATAGCCTTTTTTGTATTTGTCTCCTCCGCACTTGCGATGTTCCTGGCCTAACCCGAAAATTCAGCATTCCTTCGTTTCCATGTTGAAACTCACATAGTGCAGCTAATTTTTATGTAACATGTAACACCCACAAAATTTATATGATTAATTTCGATCGCATATTTTGAATGTCTTAGAATTTTGAATTATGGATTTTGGAAAAGAGGCCCTCATGGAGGCGTATACCAAGCGAGTATCCGCCCTCCAAACGGAATCGGTAACACTTGAATTCGTTCGTACAGATATGCAATGTGATTTGCATGTTTTTGTAGATCCGAGAAGACTGGAAGTACGTGGCGATGGTGATCGACCGGCTCCAGCTCTACATTTTCTTTGCCGTCACGACTGCCGGGACGATCGGGATTCTCATGGATGCTCCTCACATCTTCGAATACGTGGACCAAGACAAAATCATCGAGATCTACAGGGGAAAGTGAGGAAGAGTGAAAAGACAAGGAAGAAGAAGGAGAAAGAAAACCAGCGGTGCTGTTTTGTCGGAGGACAATCAAGACGAGACGAGATTACACCTGCCTTCCAGGCTTCCTTTCATCCTTCAACGGCTCAATATTGTAAAAAGAAAAAAGAAACTGTTGTAGCCTTTGGCTTTAGATTGACACGTGTACGTATGTAAAAATGTAACGGACCAGGCTGTGATTTCATGGCTTGCCATGTCGCCCGTGCAAATCGGGTGTGGGTAAAATAGTTAAATCCAGCCAATCAGTTTCCATTGAATCCATTCCGGTCGATTAAAGTTGGAAGATCGAGTGAATCGACTATTTATGCTGGCTTTTTCGGTGATTATATCCACAGCTGATTTAGTTGTAACAGGGGACGGCGCTGCTGATTCCTTCATTTCGAGAATTAGTGACCCGAAAAAGTCCTACTGAGTAATTTCTCAATAATTGTTGGATGCGGTCGAACATCCCGGTGCCAAACAAATGAACTTCCCTTCGGTACAATACCAAATCATATGCCAAAGTCCTATTTTTATCTTGCGGAAGTTTCGGGAGGTAAATATGTCTATGCTATTGCTAGGGATTTTGTGTAGGCTGAATCCTTTTAGTCGTGTGGCACGTAGGGATAGTATCAGTTTCATTTCATGTCATAGGTTTCTTGGCTGAATGGACTATTTGAGAGGTACGCTTCTTCCTCTTTGCACAAACTTGAGGGATCCAATTTTTTTTTTAAGTTCAAAATAGGCTCATTCATATTTGATGGAGTAATTTCCCAATGCAACTCTTGAACGCTGGGCAAAATTGAGTGCTCAAAACTTTTCTTAAGACTCCGATGTTATCGCTATCGCAGAAGTTACGAAGGAAGGGAAGAACCTGCTTAAAGCCCATCCCTGACCAGAGGCACACGTGCATAGATGTGTATGAGGCCACCTGTCGGCAACTCACAATGTTCATTTAGCAGAGTCGTGATGCGATGCACGGAGTTCCCCTCCTTTGCGAGAGCCATCCTCCAACTTCCATAGAGAAAGTGCGTGAATATTCATTATCGTCTCCACATGTACCAGAACTAAGAAGCTCGAAAAACCTCAGGCATTGTTGCACCACGAAATGTTTTTGATCCAGGGATGCATCCACCTCGACTTGGCGGTTCTTCTTTGCAGGTTTAGTTATAAATAGGCCACTGTGTAACAGAACCGAAAGGCTCGAGAGCGCACGAAATGCTCCATCCAACTCTACCTCGAAATACAGAACAAGATTTTATTTTTATTTATTCGATATCTTCCACGGACTTTTAGGTTGTGTAACAATTAGTTCAAGTTCATCAATTTCTTCGCGGAGATTTTTCGTTCGAAGCAAGTGGAATGAATGAGAAATGATCGAGGTCATACTGTCATACACTTATGACACACTTAACAATATCCAATATATTTTTCTACCAGATTCTCGCTAGTGGATACTGTGAAGGGAACCTTTCTATCGCGTCGCCGGGAAAGAAGACTTCGAGATCGCGTTGCAGCTTGACGTGAAATAAATATTCCTCAATACGATGCTCACGTCCGAGTGGTAGAAGGAAAAGCCTCTGGGTGCATCCATTATTCCGGCATTTGCAATAAAAACTATTATACGTTCTCGTTGGAGTGTTAACTTACCATCGCACGTCACTTACACTGTGCAATTAGAAGTGCCCTAAGAAGTACTTCAAAAAGGGATCTAGGCAAGAAAACATATCTTGAAAATATTGTATTGATAATACCTACGGAACTTGCTTATAGAATATTTCTAGATAAAGAAATATTAACAGAATAATAATCTGACTCACGTGCTCAAATACATTTCATAGCTGTCTTGATGTGATTGCAAATAGGTGCATACTCTGCCATCTAGCCAAGACACAGAAGTACTTATTCAAAAGTGCTGGTTACTGACTCCAAGGCAGACATCAGGAATCAGGATTTCCACGCCCTCTGTCACGAGGCCGACATTAAAATCACCGCAATAAAAACGGACTTGTAACTAAATCGAAAAGCAACGAAAATATTCATTTAAGTACATCAATATATCAGGTGTAATGGAAAATGTATTTATATCATGTACCAAATGTGCTAAAATAGTACTTGGTACAAGGTTGGAAAATATTGAATATTCGTACCTAAATACAAAATCTTGATGCTTATATCTATGAACCCACAACACTGGCAACGACATGATCCCTGCATTTAAAAACCCCGGCTGGGTCATTGTGGATTCTGGGAAAAATATCCTAAATAATGTTGAAAGCCAGAAATGTACCAGAAGGAAAATGTCATCGCCACAGATCGTCTCCTCTGCAATGGTCGAAAGTGGCTGTCATCGACTACACAAAGATGCCCATGGAAATGATATTCCACAACACGTCGAATGTGGCATGGAGTTCCTGGTCTTCAGATTCAAGATTGTGGGTGCAATGAGAACCCAATGGTGACCAATGCAATCCTTTGGCCTGAGACAAGAACTACTGTCCTTCGACGAGTCCTTTAGTTTCCATGCACTCATTGTTGCAGACAGAGTCCATGTCATATTTTCCTTCTTCATTTGAAGTCCAAGAGAGACACGTAAAGCGGCAAAGAATGAACTACTTTCGATGCTATCCAGATGGGAAAAAGAGGCAGATGGTTCTTCGCTGCTACAAGTTACATTCCCGAAAGAAAGATGGCGAACATACTTTTAGATTCCAGAAAAGAAACCGCAATGCACGAGCAATAGCCGAAATCCTCAAACTCAGTAAGCTCATCTGAACCATGATTTTGCGCCTGCAACTGTAACTTTCGAAGATTCTCGTAAAAAGGAATGTCTCTCGAATAGATAGGTTGCAATAAAAGTTTACCTATACCCCATATTTCACCTTTTTGACCTCTGTATTACTCCAGTTTTACTGTATTTTCCCAGTATTTTATCATTTTTAGTACTTTTCTTTCAACGTTGTTTCACAGTTGTTTACTTCTTTTTTTTTAAATACATCCTCACCTCTCTTACAAACAAAAAAAATATTCAATCGCTTGATACTTTTCGCCATAAGGACAAATTTTCCGAAAGGAAAGAACACCATATCTCACTTCAGAGACGCATTTCATTTGCTTCAGGACCTTTGCTATGCACGTGATGCGACGGGCTGAGGAGTGGAACGATGCCACTCTCTGCTCCCCCCCAGCTCATAATCTCGTTTTAATATGTACTTGAAGATAATAAAAAAAAGCCTATTCTAAACTTTTTGCCGACAGTGGTCTCCTACAAATGCACAGCACGATTCCCATTTGTTTACCACCTGCTTCAAGTCAGAAGTGAAGAATTCCCTCGGTGTTGGCCAGACTATGGGGTAAAGTATGCCTGTACATCATCTGTCGATTCTAGCGGCACATCTGGCGCCTTGCCATGGAACAGTTATGGGCTGGAAAGGGCCAGAAACATGACGATACTCTGTCATCATGACGCGTTCCATAACGATATTCACACCAACAGGAGAGATGGGGGAAGAACCCCTCACCGCAGCTTTTGAGTGATCTCCATAGCAAGAACAGCCACGTGTAGTTTGGAGCGGAGACGATGCTGAACCGCAATCTCATGGAAGCAGACCCAGAAACCCGTGGTCAAGGCTAGACTGACTTTATACCGATGGCGCTCCGTAGACTCTGAGTCGAACGAGCCGTCGGATAACCTCAGATTAGAAGAGTAGAAAAGGTTGGGCTACATCCCAGCGGGGGGTGGGGCTCGAGAACCATGACGTCACTGGTATACACTCTCCTCGGCTGACTGATAAAATCTCCTTTTTCGAGTCTATTTCTCCTTTGTTAAAAAATGTCATGTCGGTTAGTTTTTTCTTTCTATATTACCTTGTACTTTGCGCCTCCATTCTATTGAGCTCAAACGATTGTATCTCTAGATTGTGGCAATGCCAGGTTCATAGCATTCGCAGATGCCGATCGTATGTGCAGTCGCCGCCTGCAAGAACATCTGATGATTTTGAAACCGACGGAGAGAACGTTCGTTTCGTCGTTTCAAAGGAACCTGGGTTGGGGAAGACAAAAGTGATGCGGTGGAAACGCGCGGAATATGTAATTCCTGTAGTGGACTGAGGGAGGAATCCAAAAACAACACTTTGGAGTCGATTCTCATCTTTCGCCGAGATGATCCAATCGAAATTCCAAGTCAACTATCGAGTATCCCGAATATTTGTAAGAACGCGGCTGTTTATCTTGATTATCTTCATAAATTCTGAGTTGCTCAGCAAGGGCAAAAATATGAGGAAGAAATGGAAGCCTTTCGTTGAAGTGGTGAGAAGGAATATCCTCATGGTACTCATGAAAATCACGTGATTTGCCATGACCATGACAAGCACGCTCCCTTCTTCTGATTTGGAGATACAGCAACACAGAACGAGGAAGTCTGACAATGAATGCATATTCTAATTGCCATTTCAAAAGGACAAATGACCCATGTTAACAATTTCCGTAAATGATAATATACTGTATTCTCACTACAGTCGCATCCCCCTCGAACTTTTCAGTATGGAATCCTCTTCGCCTCTTTCCCATCCGCAATTTAAGGTATATTTCTTAATGAGTGATTGGTTGCGAAATGTGGTCATTATGCTTCAAAAATATCATAACATCGGAGCAAAACCAAGAGCGAGAATGGAGCAGTCGGGGCAGGTGTATACCAGTGACGTAATTTGCCCTAGGGCTGGAACCGCCATTATTCGGGCCTTCCTTTTCGACTCAACCTTATCTACTCTTCTAACTTGGGGATAACCCAGCGTTTTCACCACTTATCTGACCGTTTCGTAGGGCCTTCGGGCATACAGAGGCGTGGAGCGGGAAGTAAGTGAAACATGCGCAATGTACTCTCTGCCGCCACCCCCTCCGACCATGGTTGCGTGCATGTCGCAGTCAGGTGAAGGCCAATTCTCCCATCATTTACACTTTACAGCAACCGACCAAGGGAAACTGGGTCTGAGAAACCAAAGATGCAGCACGTCCAAGGGGGGTTTGGAGAGAGGGGGGTAAAATCTTGCGTATGTGATGACGTCAGCGAACCTTTCCACTATAAAAGCGGACGCTTTGGCAGACCATTTCACAACCTCCCCGGCTAAGGCCAGGACAAGTCATACGCACTCTTTCTGTCGTCTCTCACTCGTAATTCCTTCTACTTGCGGTTGTCTGAGTCACCCTTGACAGCATTGTACATACATTGCTCATCTATTCGTTGATTTCGTTCATATTCTTCGGTTCCTTACATTCATTCTCTTCATAGCATTTGTTAGTTATGAAGGGCAGTGGCAAGGTTTGCATTGTCGCATCCTGTAAAAATACTTATGGGAATCGACATGCAGAAAATTAGATATGATTTCGTGTGCTCGCATCACTTCTCCTCAGATTCATATTATGGTGGAAATGCTATTAGGCGCTTGAAAAAAGATGCTGTTTCAACAGAGAATTTGATTTTTGAACCAACGCCTTAGACGATCCATTTCAACAAACGGAGGACCAGCAGGTCTCCCCATCTCTTGCGAATGAAAACAATGACGTAAAGTCATCGCAACAGAAGACGGTTTAGAGGACGATGTAGACAAAGAATAATCGAATCAGTCTTCATTTCGGTCCGACCAGGCCATTCCTCAAAAGGATGAGAGCATGTAGAGGATTTAACAGAAGATGGCGGACTTATATCTGATACGCCAAACGATGAGGTAGCAACCACTGTGAACACGGAGAAGGATTCCATAATGTAGCTAGTTTAGTAGCTTTCAAGCTTCATGGGAAGGTCCTGGATCTCGGTACTTCTGTTGCTAACGATAATGCTATAAAAGGTCTGTTTGAATCTCTTCGGAACATATACCCAAATATCCATCCATTGGCTATCATGACCCTCATACATACTAGAACTCTCGTAAGACTCAGACACCTGAACAGGGTAAATACAATGAGAGTGAACCGGGATAGTGGGGAACGAAAAGCGAACAAGTTGAGAATGATGTTGACCTGAAAAGGATTTTTCATGGCACCTATGATCCAATGAGTGATGGCCGGACATCGAATTCACAAAGCCCATTCCAAAAGAAAGAGATTTTCAGTGTATAGGGCATTTCTGCAATTTTCGGATTTCGCGATGTCATGCTCTTCCACGGGTTCCCGTGCCCCAGGCGCGTTTCGCTACCCTGTCTACTTGCACATCATACCCGAAAGTGCGAGGCGTTCCACCCCCCAAAACGCGTTTCTGTGCAGATCTAAGAGGGGTCTCTCCGACTCCCCCTGGATTAACCCCTCTCCCTTCCGGAGGGGAGGGGAGGGGAGGGGAGGGGAGCGTTGGGAAGAGTCTCTTCGCACAGGGGGCCAAAACAGGGGCCCTGTTGAGGAGAAAGTACCGAGATAATATTTAGCCAACGAACCATGGCTGTCCGCCTCTTGCCCGTTTTGGTCATCTGACTTTCTCAAGTCACAGTGTGCTTATGCCGAATACAGCCGAAAATACAATGCACAGACAAGAACATAATGGTATAACAGCGTTCAAGCGGGATGGGAGGGCAAATAGCCCCGGGCTGAAGTGTGCGCATGGAAACTTGCTCCTGCCAAATGAGGAGAGGTCGTCATGTCTGGCTGACTTTTCATCGTTTTCATCGGCTGGTGAACGTGTCCGTAGTTAGAATCGTGCTATAGCTTAGTCAGCAGGGCAGGACATCCTG